TGTCGAAATTTATGGAGCAGAATTTCAGAGCCCATATGATGAAACAGTAGCTACCGAGCGAGCAGTACGTGGAAGGCAGCGGCAGTGCACACATCGCACATGCTCCATGGAACCATGTGGACCAACCCCCAACCCCCTTGATCATGACTATAATTTAATTAATCCCACCAACTAATTAAGGAAGAATATATATCCATGTTTTTAAATCGGTGGTAGAGTCAGAAATTTGAATAAAAGAGTAGCTGGAGATAGAAATATGAACGAGGGAGACTAAAATCTATTTTTAGATAATTTGAACTCGTGAAGAGAGGCTAAAGCCTTACCAACTACTGCATTTCTCTAATTTATTACAAAATTTACATGTAGTTTTACACAAGTCTGAGAGTTGAAGGGGGCTATATGTAGCCTCCCCTCGTCACATCAACGTGGCTCCGCAACTTGTTTCTATTATTCTTGTTATATTATTATCTAACACGTCCTCTCAAATGAAAGGTAACTCACAAATTTGAAAACTTGTACTTAGATAGAATATTGAGTATCGTGGAGATTCGAACACACGGCTAGGGATGGAAATCTGAACTCGCCCCGCAGGGTATTACCCGATCTGACCCGTGATTTTTTTCAAATTGCATATAAGAGTGGGTCGACCCGACCCGCCCCAAACCCGTGCGAGTATTACCCGCCCCGAACCGTTGTAATGCGGGACGAGGCATGGGTATTGAGGTACCAGCCCGCCCCGACCAATTATCATCACTACACACAGCCAGTTTGTCAAACCAGCTGTAATACTATATCATAAATCAGTTGATTTCAATAATTTATGTTATTGAAAAATAATTAATTATGAATTTTATATCAAAGTATCAATCAATCGAAAATGGGGGAAAATTCATCAAGTAGGACCAGTAGTGAGCAACTGCAATACCTAATAGTCAAGAAGGAAGGCCTCTAATTCTGTTGTAGATAAAAAAGGCAGTTTACCGGAAATTATTGTTCACTATCCTTACCATACAAAACAAAACATAAGAAAGGAAGTCCTAAATGGAATTTGCTTCTGTAATTTAAATATCTCTCACAAAACACACATGCATTTCCAACAACGGTAACATTAACATCCTTCAAACCGTCCGCGCCTTATCCTTTTAACGACTAACGACCATTTACTCTTCCCACAGCATCATTCATTCATGTCCCTTTCCCTCTCTTATATCATCGACTTGATGCTCACCACGAACTCATGAATGACTGTGATATCCACCGCCCAATAAGCTACCTAGACTCACTCAGCATATGATATGTTATAATCTTTTAATTAGAGGGGGCAAATGGATTGGATTGGTGGATTGGATTGGTGGATCCATGGATCAAATGGATTGGATCTAATGGATTGGTGGATTCATGGATTGGATCAAGTGGATTGGTGGATTATCCATGAATCCAAATGACATCCTCAACCAAGGACCAATATGTAAAATGTAAAAAGTTTAGGTACTAAAATGTCATAATGAAAAATTTTAGGTACCAAAACGTAATTTTCCAATGATATTTTTCGTATAAAAAATTAAATTTTAGGTACCAAAATGTAAAAAATAAAAATGATAGGTACTAAACCATAATTTGCCAATGATCCATGGATCCACCAATCCAATTGGATTTGGATAAAATGGATTGGATTTAAATGGATTGGATTAGGTGGATATTTTTAATGGATTGATGGATTGGATTGAAATTGCCACCTCTATTTTTAATGTATCAATATCACTCTTACAAGCCATCCTGTTCGAAATTGAATCGCCTAAGGTTGATTCGGGATGGGTGTACAGGGTTCTTCTTCATGAATTGAATGAAGTCTTCTCTCATATTTACCAATACGACTAGATGTGTTGACATCTATCAGATAAAAATATCGTTATATATAACGTAGATGATATGATCACTATGTGTTAGATGTGACATGTTGCATTGACTTTAATTTGTTTACCTAGCAGTACAACTAGCAGTATGGAGTTTCATTGCGAACGTGCCAATTCTTGATCAATTAGACGGAGGAAGGTCTTTAACCGAGTTGGACTGGCGATCGAGGTACTACCAAGTGCGAATAGATCTTTCTTATTAGCCCTAAGCAATCTGTAAAGTGTAAACTAAAATCTGAACTCTCTCCCCTTACCACGTGTACACTTTTTTGGGGCTCCATATTATAGATCACATTCACATGCCCCTTAATTTAGTTAGAGGTTATTTTCCTAGTGTATTTAAACCATGGTCAAGGGTCCCCTGAGATTACAAGTAACAACTAACGAACTTATATATAAAATTCACAAGGATGTTGTACGGTAGGCATGCAACTATTTTAACATATCACGAGTTAGGTATTTGCAAGTGATCATCATTATAAGAGAGGAAACAGGTCGTAGCACAAAAATCAAATAATGGGGTCTGAATCTGATCCTCCAATCTTTTTCTTTATGCAAATTCATGATGGGGTGACAAAAATGAATACACATTATGCATAATATTACTAAGAACATGCTTTAAATATTCATTTTTGAAGATATATCGACATCATTTGTCAAATATAAGAATATGACATAAAGTTAAATTTGTTTATAATTTTTCTAAAAATTTCATATATTTTTTTATGTTGTTATTATACAATTGAAATTGAGATCATCGAGGAGTCACACGTAATCAAGTGTAATTATATAAATATATTGCAAAAAAGGTGCATATCATGTTGCATGCTATACCAACCTAGGGTTAATTGCACAGCGTGCAACTTAAATATAGTTGTTGTGCACTAATCATCTGACTTATTTTTGGAAGCACCAAAACAAATAGGTTGAATTCTTATTGCAAATAAATCATATAAATCAAATTTCGATTGCACCATCTCAATTTCCATCCATAGACTTAAGAGCACCAAATGATAATTATTGTGATGCCATTTTGAATTTAAATAAAACCCCTATAATATTTTTCACAAGTGCCATATTTATTTGACTTTTTTTCTAAAAAAGTACGATTGATTACCATGTTTAGCTTCTTCTTCCACCTACCATGTTCTCTTCCTAGGTATCCACTACCACTAGCATGAGAAACAAAATAGAATGCGGTGGATAAATAAAGAATGGAGAGCCCGTGAACACATTATTTATCCATTTTCATAATTTCACGATCCATGAAATTTTATAATCGCTTCAATTTACTTCATATTTGCTCCAAAAATGGTGTCATAAGTTTTTCATTTGCACAAAATACCCACTGTCGAGTCTGAAAACGAAAATTGTGATGGTGCAATCGTGTGTTTGATTTATATGATTTAGTTGCAACCTAGATTATTCAAGTTATGTATGTAATTTAGTTGCAACAAAAATAAATTAATTATAATGTAATAACATATCCTATACTTAACCCAACAAAACTACATATCTATAGAGACTAAAAATAATGATAATCGCATAAAAAGAAAACATGAGGAGAACTGGTGGCTGCATTCATTTTTTGGGATAACAGTGTTTGATGATGTCTCGGATCCTACTAGACTACTACTAGGAAAATCCGGGTCTACAATTTCGGTTGTTTTTATTTATTTTTTTTATAATTCATTTCTGTTGGGGAAGCGGTCCAGGGAGTCGTAGTGGGCTGGGGCCCAATGGGGGAGGTAAAAAAAAAGCTATCACATGGGGGAGAAAGAAAACGAAGAAGAAATAGAGGGAGGGGGAATGAGATCACGAGTCAAGGAGTGCAACAGAAGAATTGGGAAATATCTTATCCAAAAACCAGACTTTGCCTAAATATATTTATAAATCCGCTCGAAAGCGACCTATTGGGCCCCCAGCCCAGGCCCACTCCCCCAGCACTTATTATTAATTTACACATTTATATTTTCTTTTGCCTGCGGTGCCCCCATTTTCCTTCTCAAAGACTCGCTGTCCCGAAATTAAAACCGCCCTTTCCTCCCTCCCTCCACTTGTCTCTGCCACTGTGGCACCCTACCAATCTCTCTCTCTCTCTCTCTCTCTCTCTCTCAAGGAGAATCTCCATGACCCCAACAACACTCTAAACACATAACGCACACCGCAAACAACAACACACAGAGATCACAGCCGGGATCTCCTTCCATGTTATGTAAGAGCTGCGTTTTATTCCCACTTGCTTATATTTCCCTTCAAAGATTACGATGTTTTCTACCTAAGTGTTGAGGGGAACATTGATAAATGGTGTGAAAGTTGACCATTGTCAAGGCTCGAAAGTCGAATCCGATATTCGCGTTTTAAATTCTACTTTTGCCTCCTTCGAAAAGTAGGGTTTATATTAGGTAAAACGAACACTTGTTTTCAATGTTTCGAATGATAAAAACCTAGCGGATAGTGGTGCCGGGCCAGAGATCAAAAGGGGCTATTAAAAAACGAGGACCTTATGTGTAGGCACCACGAATGTTGGTTGGGGGTTGAGTGGACAACAATATATTAGGTGAGATTTTAAAAGATCGGTTTGGGCTTCTCTAGCACAAAAAGAATTGAAACCTTATATGACTTAAAGAATTGGATTTGGTTACAGAACCTATGGTTGGCAAACAAAGATCGAGTTTTAAGATACGTTTAGATGCTCTCACATTAACTAATTTTGCTTGATTGATTTTTATCAATGTCTTCTTTTTTTAAGATACGTTTAGACTGCAAAGGCCCATCCTTCGGGAACAGGCTTTACTGCAGAGGAAGCAAATGCTCCACAAAGGGGCCCAAAATCTTTCAACAGTCAACATAGAGGCCAAGATTGCCATGGACTCCCAGACTGAGTACGTCCAAAACGAGGGAACAGGCTTCACTGCAAAGGAAACGCCCTCAGTTGCCCCTAAATCTGTCAACCCTGAGGCCCAGACTGCAAAAGGCCCATATTTAGGGAATAGGCCTAACTGCAAAGGAATTGGGAATCAAGTGGGCCGCCACTATTTAACAAGCTACTTGTATCAAAACAACATTTCCTGGCTTTTGCTTGCATTAGTAGTATAGATTAGCTAACACCTTCATGAAGGTCAGCAAAGAAATGAGCGTGCCACCAACTAGACATGCTTTGAGAGCTCTACCTTTCTTACTCGGGCGCACCCAGGTGAAGTAGCTCAGAGCTAACTCTAAAATTGACTCCCCATCAAGATAAAATACCTGAGAGGTCGAGCAATCCGAAGCATTACTAACCGATATGATATGTATTTCTCGATCATATAGACATAAACATACAGAATCTGCATTTGATTCTATTCGGGGAGAGAAAATTACCGGCAAACTGTTGAGGAGAGCCAGTGCAAGAGAAACATAGAACACCCATACTGTGGCCTTCTCCAGAAAGCTCGGAAGATAAGCAGCGAATGGGAATAGAAATCGAGGTTGATATGACGTTAATTGGATTGACTGTGCCATGGCCATCAGATCACCTACAAAAATAAAAGTCCCACCACAGTTGGAGTCTACGGTTTCAGAATTTGCAGATGGATCTCTTTGAAGCTGCAAGCATTCTGGAGAACGAGAGCTTGCATAAGTGATCTCGGCCCATACTAGCCCTTGCTGCTGAACAGGATTCAAGCACCACTCACCCTGCAGAACAAAAAGCCATATTTCATGAGCTTCTCAGCTTCCATGCTTCTGGCAAACAACCAGCAATGGCTATTCGGAGATTTAAATTTCAAAACAGTGTTGCCATTATTGAGATGTCAAAGTTACTTCATCAAACTGACAGACATACCTCTGAACACAAGCAGCTGCTTCCATTAGTGATATGTCCCAGCCAACCATTTCCACATTTATTAAGCATCACAACATCTCTAGCAGTCAAACAGTACCGTTTCAGTGCTCTATCTGCAGCTTCAGCTTGCAATAACCTCTCGTGTAATTTGCTTGATTCGGAGCACTCAGAAGGCCTGAATTCAGCAAAACCATCAGGACACGCAGACTGAAGGTCTACCAAGTGAATGGTCGTGTTGGCATCCATCACAGATGTAGGAACGCAGTAACCCTTTTGAACTTGAGAGGCTGCATAATCTTGTGTACTTTTGGGCCAATTTGAAATTTTGAACGTACGGTCTTGTATTAAAGCAGACAACTCCTTCCACTCATGTTCATCGTGGACGTGTTTGCCATCCAGTGACACGATCAAATCTCCAGGAGACAAATAGCCAGACAAAGGAGATGTGGAGGGTACATGCAGAACCTATTGTAGATGAACATAACTAGCTGCAGTAAGTATTCACTAAAGGACATAAAAGTTCATTCCTGGAACGAAATAGACTTAACAGATTCCAGCAACTTACCATGGGGGTTTCACCATGCAAGTAGAAGGGGCATAAGAGCAACGGCAGCAGAAACAGCATAAATCCACAAGCTGCACAACACTATTGACAAAGACATTAAAATACAAGAATGCACGAAAAGGATTAAAAACAGGTAAGACCAGTTAAATCAAGTAATGGATCTCTACCACTGAACTGCAGAAGAAGACTCTAAAGTAGACAAATGAAAAGAAATAAAAACACCATAGATAGAACTAGAACATGGTCGTACCGCAGCATTATGCCAAATGCCAGCACAATATACACGAAGAGCACTGAACCTCTCCAAGCCATTGAGCAGTTCATCGTTTAAGGCTACCAAGGCACCAGGAAACAGAAGCGCGATGAACACGGCAATGTATTCTACCTGGATGCCCTCACTGCTTTCCCAAGAAAATTCGATCACCACCAACAACCGTTAGTACCCTACCCATGGTTTTAAGTGCCAAGACGGATCAAAACCCTACAACGTTGTAGCAATCGCTCAAGGAAAGTGCAAAATAAAGTACCCACCTTCCAGCAGCAATGGCATGGCCCAATTCGTGCACCGAGACAGACACCAAAGTAGCGAAAAACAAATAAGCGGCATTAGAGATGGAGAAGCTCAGACCATGAACCTAAGGAGAAAAGAAGCTAGCTTTCATCAGAATCAGATAGCGGGGGGATCGAAAGAAAAAAGGATGCGTAGTAATCACCCGGTCAGCCACCTGAGGGGAGAACCCGAACAATAAGGAAGTGGTGGCGCTCGCAGTGCCAGGGAGAATACTTGGGGAAGCTGCTAATTCCATAACAAGAAGCAGAGTAGCTCCGACGAGAGCGGCGAGGCTGAATCCGACGCCGATTGAGAACCACAACTTCAATTGCTTGGAATATCTCCTGCCGAAACCAAAGAGGACGCCGTTGAGAGCCGAGAACTTGTAGTCACAGTACCAACAGGAGACGGTGTGGGAAAGGGGACGGCTTCGGCTCTCTGAACGGAGTGGAAGCAGAGTGTGAGGTTGGTTACGCCCCCTTCCGAACCTTCTGAACCGTCGCGGTCTCTCCATCGAATTGGATCCGTTCCCCGCTCTCTCACTTCGGCCTTTCCTCCATCTGAGAAATACAGGACTAATCGCCACAGGCCCTTGAACTCCCAGCAGATTCTCCTGAATCAAACGCAGAGTCTAGCTTCTGTTCCTTCTCTGCTCGACTTAGGAATGGGAATATGCAGGTCCGACTTTCGAGGTTCGTATCTCCATATCAAGGTTGTCGGGTGAATTTCACGTTTGGTCACTCAGATTACATATTTGTTTCACGTTTGCCACCGGAAAATTTTTCCTTTCTTAATCGTCACCCACATTACACTTTTATTTCACTGATGGTCACTGGCCGTTTAACTCCGTCCGACTCCGTTAACGTCGTCGACGTGGCCGACGGAAGTGCCAAGTTGGCAGTCAAAAAATTCCGAGTCAGCTTACTTTTAAGCATTGACCTAGTATGGGCGGGAAGAATGAGACTTTTCCCCCCTTTCACAATCTAAACTAGGAATTTCTACCCTATTTATATTCATTTAACCCTTATTCTTCCATCTTCTCTCTCTACGTCTTCTTCTTCCTCCATTGTTGCTCTGTTAGGCGAGAACCAGCTAAGAAATGGCAGGCCCATTTTGTCACTGTGGAGATCCAGCAAGCCTGAAGACGAGTTGGACGGATGCGAATCCGGGTAGGAGGTTCTTTGGGTGCGGCAAGTTTGGGGTAGGAGACCCAGCCCTTCGTATTCCTTTGTCGATCTGTTCACTGGTTTGATTCTCATCCTTCTGCTTCTTTGTTTTGGGTGTTAATGTGCAGAGAGGAGGAGCATGCAATTACTTTAGATGGCATGACCCAGCTCTTGATGACCACGTGAAATATTTGGTGCTCAACCTCCATCGCCGCATTCGTGAGCTAGAGAAGAGGCAGCAGGAGAGGGAGTCCAATTTTCTGAGTAAAAAAGTGTACCTCTTCGTCTTTGTTGCCATTCTGTGTTCATTCCTTTGGAAGGCAAATTAAGAATGGTGGGTGGTTTTGAGGGGAATGTCTACTGTGTACGGGAATTAAGAATGGTGGGTGGGTTTGCGGGGAATGTCTACTGTGTAAGGGAATCAAGAATGGTTGGGTTTGAGGGGAATGTTTAATGTGTGTTTGTTTAGCTATTTTCTTTAGCCGTAGCTTATAATTTACCGGAGATGCTGTAAGTTGAATTGGCTTGTGTACTGTACTGTGTTTGTGTCAAATAACAAGTGCTGGGAACAAAGGATGACTGCACTCATACTTAACAAGGCTTACATGCATTAGATAACAGTTTTCTTGTCCACAAAATGTGCAAATCATAACCTGATTTACAAGAGCCATGACTGAAAGGCTCCATCAGTTAACCAACAGTGGCACCTGATGACCAAAACAAGTCCAAATCATCACCTGATTACAAGAGCCATGACTGAAAGGCTCCATTAGTTACCCAACAATGGTACCTGATAACCAAAAAAAGTGCAACCTAGGCTGTTTAGCAAAATAGCATATCATAAGGTTTACAATCCACTACTACATGACCTAAACAACCACTACAAACTACAACTAGACATCCACTAGTACATGACCTAAACATCCTCTAAAACAGCCACTCTTCATGGATTTTGTAGCTGAGTCAATTGGCTTGCTATATGAGAGACTTGAGTGGCTTGACTTCCTTGCTGAGTCACATGATTTGATGGCCTCCGGGTACTTCCCTGCAAAGTTGGACACAATGACTACGTTTAGGAAGCATTCAATTACACTTGGTTAAAAATGGAAACAAAGAACTAAAGACATACATCTGGCATCAATTGGACAGTATGTGGCTGTCTTTGTGCTTGTTTCCCACCCTTTCTTCCATTCTCTTCCAGTTTCTTTAGTGCAGCAAGCCTGTTTCTTTCGGCTCTTTCCAGCTGCTTTCTCCTTTGTGCTTCCTCCCTCTCCTTCCTTTTTCTGTCTCTTTCCATGACAGCTGTTGTTTTCTTTTCAGCACGAGCCATATCCCTCTGAGTTTTATCCTTATGGAAGGATTTGTTATGGCCAAGCAGCCCACATTCAGTACACTTGTATTGCCTTGCTTGTGGTTTAGCCACTTCCCTTCCATTAACCACTTCCCTTCCAGATTTCTTTTGTTTCTTATTTGCCACAACTTCATCAGCTTCCTTTCTTCTAGCTTTCTTTGGCCTTCCTCTCTTTACCGACTCAGAAAGTGCAGGAACTCCAACATCACCTAATTCAGAAAGAGTCCAATGCTCCTTGCTGACAGTCGGCGAGATAGAGAATTGATAGATTCTTCTTTGTGCATCCTTAAAGTAACATGGAGCCACATAATCGTAGACATTTCTACCGGCCCTTATAATAGCTTGAATTGCATGTTCACAAGGAATACCATTCAGCTCCCACCTCCTACAAGTACATGTCTTTTCCCTTAAATTCACCACAAGCTGCTTGCTGTGCCACCTAACTTCGAACTCTGCATTTCCATTACATTCAGCCACCCACTTGCGAGCCTCTTCCCTCAACTCCTTAACTTTTTTCTCAATTTTTCGACATAAAGGACCACGCCACTTATCCACTATACACCTTCTACGAGCATACTGCAACATCAACTTTCTTCTTATCCCCTCCCACATAGTAATAGGAGCCACATCTCTCTCATCCAGTATTGTATCATTCCATGATACAACCATGTTGCTAGTAAGCACATCAGAATTAACATGAGTGAGGAAATGTGACCTGGTCCAGTGATAAAATGGCTTCTCAACAAGCCAATCATAGGCTGTTTTGTTGTAGTCCGCAATTGCTTTCATGGCAGTCTGAAATTCAGGTACTGTGGTGGCTCTAGCAGCTGTCCAAAACAAGTCCTTCATCATTTGGGATGCTCCACATGCACTCTGTAAATTAGTGTACAAATGTCTTGCACAATGCCTCTTCTCGGCGTAGGGAAATATCAAGTCTAGGGCTGGCATGAGACCCTACAAAACCAAACAACAAGTTAAAATAAAAAACGAACAAAAGATCATTGAATCAAGGAATAGGAAGTGACAAAAGGAACAGTAAAATCAGATACCTTCTGCTTGTCCAACATGAAGGTCCAACCGGGATTATCACCTATTTTAAGATCGACTCCAATGAGTTCAAGGAACCACATCCAGTTTTCCTTGTTCTCCACTTCAACATGAGCAAATGCAACAGGAAAATATCCTTCATTTGCATCGATGCCAACTGCAGAAAGTAGTTGACCTCCGTAGTCATGCTTCAGGAAGCAGCCATCAATGCACAATATACGTCTGCAGCCAGCCATAAACCCTTGCTTTGATGCTTCGAAGCACACATACATACGATGGAACGTATGAAATCTTTGCTCGACGACAACAGTCGAGTTGGGGTTGCTCCTACGCAGCTCTTGAGCATAATGGTAGAGGCTGCGAAATTGCTCTTTGAAAGTCCCGCGTACCAGATTAGTGGCTGTCTTCTTGATCCTCCATGCCTTCATATCTCCAACCTCTTCCTTGTAATCTTCTTTCATGATTTGTTTCAACAATGTTCTACTCATCTTTTGGTCGGCAGCAAACTTTCTTGCAAGCTTGTTTCCCAAGAATTTAGCTGTTGCAAACTTGTTATTAAAGGTCATCTGACATTCATTTGAGTGTTCCAGCTTGCATCGTGTGATTTGCACAGCATCTTCTTGGCTCATCTTTGAAGCCCATATGTACCAATCGCATGGTTCCTCACACTTTGCTTGAAGCCTCTTTTTGTCATTCTTCTTGAGTGTAATTGGTCGCTTCTCAAGGAAAGAATGCATCTTTATCGCATCCTTCAACACGTCAAAGTTGCAGAATTTTTGTTCAATAGCAAACGTTGGCTTCTCCATATCACGATACGGCCGAAACTCGGGGGTATTCACATCCTCAGAGTCCTCGTCTGAACTATGAACAGTTCTGCGATCATCCGAGTCCACAAAATCAGACTCCTCGTCACCCAAGTCTTGATCTTCCATGTTGGAGTGGCCATCCATAATTCTGCCCATGTCAGCTTCAACTTCTTCATTACAATTCTTCTCAAAATCAGCATTGTCACCATCACTACTGGCCATTTCAGAGTCACCCTCATAGTCACTATCATCCTCCGATATCTTGTAGTCCACGTCCTCCTCGTTAGAATGATCAAACAAAGCTGCATCATTCACCAAAGCTCTGGTTCCATCTTCCTCCAGGTCACTACCCATAAATTCCTGAACTTCCTTATCCCCTATGGCAAAAAGCTCTATGATGCGAGGGGGTTGGTTTGCTGTTGCAGCCATGGCCATCAAGTCCCCATCGTTGGCAATCTCCATCATTGAATCATCATCGGGAGCTTTCCAGTAGAATGTTGGTTTTTGAATCTTCCCACCACACTTCTCATATATATCAGGCAAGTCAAGGAGGGATAATTCGTCAATGTCAGCATAATCATAGAACATGGTGGTCTTCTCCTTCAAGAAATGTTTGCCACTATTCTTCTTAAATTCATGGTCTACGTGAACTTCAAAAGTAAACTCCCCACTACATGGACCTGTGGTTTAAAAAATTAGTGTAATTCATCTTAGTGGTGACGATTTTGTGGTCAAAAGCATTCTGAAAAAGGGAAGCTATTTCTGGATACAATATCTCCAATAAACAACCATATAAACAAGCATGAAACGACGGAACTTACGATATTTAGGTGGGCTACCATTCGGTGGTCTCACATGTCCCACCATGATTCTCGACAACCTGGAAAAAACAACACGAAGTCGCAATAAAAGAATCCAAAAGGCAGACATTGAAACAGATAAAACACCATCGACAACCATGACTCCGGAATTTGTTCGTTTCCACCTTTTGTCGTGTCTATAGGAACACCCTCATTGAAATCAATAAAAGCTCAAATACGACAAGGAATTACCTTACAACTTCTCCTTTCTTCAACGCCGACCCTCGGAGAGAAGAGCAAAGCAAGGAATCACTGTTGGATACTTCAATTTGGGGATTTAGGGT